AAATGAATCCTTAAATCTGTGGTCAATAACACCAAGGCATTGAAAACATGGGTGAAAAACCACATCTACCTAATTTCCAATTACAACCCAAGCGGAGCATCTTGCGACGTATGTACGTAAATATCACAACTTCTTTTTATGCATCAAAAAGTGATTATGTGGTCATTTTGGGGTGATGAAATGGCTGTTGGATTTTTTTGCTACATTCTTAAGGATTTCATCAGGTGTTGTTGGGAAGCTGAAGAAATCTGCCACATTTGATGAGAAGAACATCAAAGAGACATACCATCCTCCAAACAAGGACTATGGTCACATGATGGTCTATGAGCCTGAGGTCGAGATTCAGTTCCTCACCAATGAAGATGTAAAGAAGCTTCAAAAGGTTGCATCCCAGCAGAAAATCACGTCAGAGCTCATTAAGGAAAAGTTAGTACCAGGCTCAGACACCATGTCCATGGTATTTCATACATGTATAGCTTTGGAAGATTTGAATGCCTCTTTTCTGTCTCGCACTCAAAACAAGGGCAAAGCAGGCAGAAAAGCAAAAGAGAGCCACAATTCTGCATGATCACCATCTCTCTGGTCTTTCTTTTTCTTACTCCATGAGATTTTCATTTTTATGGTCCCAATTTCTGAGTCTCTTGCAAAATACAAACTCCTTTTCAGGGAAGAAGAGTCCAAGAGGCCTTTTGCCTGAGTATTCTGTGGTGCACATATCCCGGATCCTCATTCAGCAGGACAAAGACCTGATCAAAGATCCTGACAGTCAAAGCCTGGGAGAACAATTATCCAGCATGATATCAAAGGGCGTTGCCCCGTTTGAGCTTGGCCGAGGGAAAGGGGGAAGCAAGGCTGGAGGTTCAGCTGAGAGTTCAACTTCCACTCGAAAACCTGCAGGTGAAGACGAAGATGACTCTTCTTCCCAACTGACCACCACCACATTGTAGGTGTTCTTGGTTCCTCAATCTTACATGAAATTTACCCTCTCTGTGATATAGTCTATGAAGGGAAAGACATCTCTGATTTCTCTTCCATATATTCTTGTTCACGAAGCAAACATAGAGTCATATATCATTGCAGTCACATATGTGCCCACAGGTGCTAAGCTGGGGCATAGAAACTGAAGGAACACAGGTTCCTCAATCTACCATGGAGACAGGAACACTGTAAGTTATTGGGAAAAAAATCCCCTTATGCAAATTTCCACAATGACCCAGAAGATTGTTCACTCATTAGGCCTACATGGATATATCACAAATATGGAGGCATCATCCAATATTTAAGGCAAGAGTATCAATGAGGGTGACTGGTAATTTTTAGGTGCTTAATTTTTTTGCATAAGTTTAATAGCTCCCACCAGAAATTTATCAAATAAGCTTCAGCTCTCCAGTGTGTCCAGTTGCATCATGAATGAATGTGTATGCAGCTGGACCCTCAGTCCCCTAATAAAAATCAGTTCCAGAAGTTACATTAAAATGGTGACTGGTATCATTAGGAAAACTCAATTACTTTGTGATTTTCCAGTTTGTATCAGCTATAGACTATAGAAAGAGCAGATACTCTAGAAGTCATGTAGCTATTATTAAGGGCATATTACCATCCACAGCAAGTGATAAATGACATCCCTGTTCCTGATTGTTAATGCCTAAAATACACTCTGCCTACAGCAACAAGATGCTAATTGAAGCCCACAGTTGTGACCTGCAGAACTTCCTATTGCTCCTATTATTAAAAATGAAACCATGTTGTAATAGGATTTTCATAACATACATAACATTTATGGAACATGAAATTTGGTAATACCAGTATGATGTATGCACTGTGAGAACCTGCATTAAGTCTCATTGACATCTTCATTGTCACTTGGATTGGCTTTTTGGACCTAAATTAAGATTACCGAAGAATTTGATCAATGAGCAACTAACTCAATTGAAACATTCTGTTAGTAGCAATCACAAATTATAAGAATATTTATGGCTTCAATTTCAGCAAGAAAAAATAATTGAACCACAGAATGTGATTCCTTTGTATTACATCAGTTTCATTGCCATAAGACTGTATGATGCATCAGTATATAGAACAGTGAAGCAAAATGCAAGAAATCTTTTGAGTCATTGTAGAACATAAGCAGTGGCAGATCTCTCACATGGACTCATTTAATATCAATCATCACACACTGAGATCAGGTTTCATTCTAAAAGCATTCATAACTTGCAGAAGAGTGCATCCCAATTCTTCTCCCTTCTAGCTCTTAATGAATTTTTCATTCTCCTTATATAGCAGTTTTTTTTTCTAGCTTAACACATTCGCTCCTGACAAGTGATTTGATTATTTGTTTTTTATGCACATGTACTTCATCAGCAGCAAATGTGTTAAAGAGAGAAGAATTGGAGTCTGTTTTTGGTACTTGTGTCATCAAAGTGTATAAGAAGAGCTTCATTGCACTTGTTGAGCAAGTTTCCATGTTGATTTGTAACTCATCTGAGAGTTTCAAGATGAAGACCTTCAACTGCTGAAAGACCATTGCAACAGGCCAAGAAAACTTAATGTGGGATTTGGGTAAACCTAATCTCAATGAAGATTAGACCACCAAGAATCAATTTTCTACTCCATCATTGGCAAAGCAGGACTCCACTCTGAGACATGAAGCATATGAGTTTCCCTCTCTGGTCACTCTTCCCTATCTATTAATTATGAAAATTGTTCTGTTCTGGAATTCTGGGCTGGTAGTCGTAAGGAAAAACATACTCCTGATTTATATATTTTTTTTTTTTTACAAAGGCTGTCACAGAAGTGGTTATGATTGACTGAATATTGAGAGCAGGGGATAGGTACTGTGAGAAGTATGTCATATGAAGGCACAGATGATGATGGGAAGGACTCAATCATTGAATCAAGTTCAAACTCTTCAATATTCCATGGTCTTGAGCAAGGATTTGCAATGTGCACGCCGAAGTTCCCATATCACAGAAACAACAGAAAAGAAGGAAGTGAATTAGTGCCCATATAAGAGCAAAGGAATACCAACATAAAGAATGATCAATACATTGTGCACAATACTGCTGGCACACAGGTATTCAAATCAGGCCAGAGCAAACATTTTGGCACTCTTAGATGATCCAACAATAGCCTAACAAAGTGTAACTCATAGGAGAAATAATGCACTCATGAAAATTCTAGGAAAAAAATGACCAGGAGCCACATTCTATCAGGGTCTGAGACATATTCTAAGTAAACACTCAGCATTTGGCCATGCATCTGAACTGGTCAAAGAAGAGCTAAGCGCTTGCCTTGCTAAAGAAGTAACACATAAAACACAGAGTATTGCCCAATGATTCACAAGTAGTAAAAAACAGTGACTTTCCCTCATTATCCAGTTTCTCCATCCCACTGCAGAAACAAGCACTGCCATGAAATGTGATATTTTTTATTTATTTAAATGTAACTTTAAATTTTGCATTAAACTTGAAATGACAAATTCTTTTGGTTCCCTTCTACCAAAATCAAGTCAGAAGTAGCTGGTCTTGTGCAAGGGCTGACACGGGGATTACCACATTTCTGGCAAGTAACACCTCTCTGCAGTTATCAACATCATTCGTTGTGAAATCCATTGAGTTTATGACTAGTCCTTTCAATACGAACAGCTAAGAAGACTCATGAAACATATAGTATATTGCTACTATCCTTCACCAGTGCTCTTGAAAAGAATGGTATGAAGAACCTAAGAAAATAAAAAACATAAATACATCTATCCCAAGCTATAAATAATTAATTGCAACGAATTGTGCATGACAGCAGGCACTCAATGCCCACAGTTGGTGACTAGTGCAATTGGAGATGACTTGATGATGACTAGAAGAGATTTATGTCCTCACAAGTAGTACATGATACTCAACATGGTGTCCAGGTCCAGCTAGAATTATGAACCCATCTGCATAGAAGCAATCCCAAAGAAATTCTCCAGTTGCTTCCTGGATGATGCAGCATTCATGGAAACGAAGATCAGCCCTGTTGACCCAGTTGACTTTGCTGTCTCCATACCCACCTGCAGATAGTTCACTTTTAATACTACCTGATCCAAAGAAAGGCAATTCTAAACCACAGTGTCCCACTGAATGAAACAATTTTTTGCTTCAAGTCTTGTGACATGGTCACAGAGAAATTTCAAATTTACTCTGATGCAAGTCCTGGTGAAGGACACATACAGAGGAAAAAACACTGGGCCATAAATTTAGGCATGCAATTTTTCCCCCTCCAAGAGGCATCACTTTCCACATTCACAGATTTTTTCCAGTAGAAGGAAAATGACACAAAACTGAAGCATTGCTGTCTGGCTTACATCAAATAGATTTGGGAGTTCAAAAGATGTACATATGAAGAAGCTTCTCTAATGTGGAATTAAGCCCAGAAAATCCACACAGTTATCAAATGTGACAGTTGTGTGGCCCAGAGTAACTGACAGAGGTATCTGAAGGGAAAGGTGACCACTTCTCTAAATTGCTTTGCTCAAGGGATAGATCACACCTCACATCCTGGAGGGGGAACATACAGTGCTCCTAGATCACAGGCAGTCCAAGCCTTATAGGTAATTGGAGGATTCTTTGCAATAAGCAATACACATTGTGCTTTACATTCTTTAAATTTCAAGAAAATATCAGAAAGAACATAGTTTTCCTTCTTACTACACTATGACCAAAGTCATGCACATAAACTTTCACTTTTGCAAAACAAAGAAACAGAAAAAGTATTTTTTTTCTTAACCACCCAACAGACCTGTACCATTTAACCCTTGACTTTAGAAAGATTTAAAACTGCATAAACATGGGTACATCTTGATATAGCAAAGTATTTATCATAAAAATTCATATTATTAATCTCCTATCACAAACATTGAATACCTCAAAAGGCATACAATAACAAAAATCTTGAATAAAAATTTGGTTTGGTATATAATGTATAGGTATAGGTATTTTTAAAAAATTAAAATGACAGCAAGGCTTCTAGTAGCAGTACAGAGGACAAACTTTTTGGGCGGCAACAAAAGTCCCTGGGCCATTGTACTCCAACCCCACAACGGATCCCATGGTGATGATGTCTGCATAGTTTGGGGACTGGAAAACACGCTGAGCATCTTCTTTTGTTAGATACAGCTCTTGTGCCTGAATCAGTTGAGACTGTGGCTGTTATGGAAAAGAGGTTTGAGGGCTCATACATCCACTGCTTCAAAATCAACATTAGTGAATGGTTGGAGGAAGAACTCTCTCGTCCTTACGTTGGCTTCTTTCATATCACGAATGAAGGATCGGGCTCGATCGTGATGTTGACCATCCGAAAAAAAGGCCACCAGTGCACTTTCCTGTGATTTCACAACACAATGGATTCCTGCTGTTGCTGGAACAACACTCTTGGATGGCTCCAAGGATACTGACATACTAAAAGCAAGATGCAGGTAAGGGTCAGGGCATTGATTACCAACTGTTGAAGTCAAAACTGAACAAAACTCACTCTTTGAATAATTCCTGATCTGGTGTTGGAGGTGGAAGATACTCCTCTAAGTTTGTGGCTTCTGGCAAGATAGACCAGTTTGGTTCAGTTGGACTGGGGGTGAAATCATGAATATTGCTCCAATTGCAATTGAAAGGACTCAGTCCTGCATTATTTATTTGATCTGGAATAGTAATAAAATGTGTATCAGCTTGAGCAATAGATATATAAGAAAAAAGGTTGCACCACTAGAGGCAACACTTGCAGTTTTTTTACCTTCTAATTGAGGATAGAAGTATTGGAATGGAGCAAAGTTGATGTTGCTCGATGACTCAATAATTGGCTGACTGGCACAGGCAAGGAACACATTAAGGTTATGGCAATCTCTCACCCTGAACTGGCTACAAGATACCATCACTGAGCAGTTTTTGCAGTCTCTGATGAAAATGCTGAAAATAAAAATAAATTTATTAGCATTTTCATAACTTGCATAAAAATCACATACATAATCATAACAGCATGATAATACACATTTTAGACTGAATACAAACATAGGATTTTTTAGGATCGGCACTCTGTACTCTATACTCATGTTACCAGTACCTCCCTCAGAATATGTTCTAGACTAGGAAAAGGAATTCAAAAACTAAAATTTTTCAACCAAAAAATAAAAATACAGTAAAACCTCTGCTAGCTTATAACCTACAGTACCTTTAAGCAGAGTTTGGCCCCAAGCATGTAAGCTAAGGCATGTTTTACTATAGTTTCACCTAGGGTCTGACATGAATATCATGGACCACCAAGCCTGTTAAGGTTGCAAGACTGTTGCACCTGTTAGGCAGTAATTGAAATACAATTACTTAAACGTTTTTTTTTTATTTATCTTACCTGGTAAGACCTTTTAAGTCTTACCTGGCCATTCTTCATTCAAGTCAATTTCTTTTTGATAAAACCTATGTGAATGGGTATTTCCAGGGGTGCCTTGGCATTCTTTTTGAGAAATCCTGGTCAGTAAACCCCCTCCATAATTGCCTATTTAAGTCCTGCTGCAAGGGATAGGTGGTTCCTTTTTCTTTCATGAAGAAACCTGCTTTTAATTCCACAAAAGCTAAAATGATCACCTTCAAATTATCAAAATAGGTTTGTGTGAAGAGGGGACAGGGTTCAAACCCACCCCTGTTGCCATAGTTACTACTTATTAATGCTCATTGAGGGAGGTTTACTGAGGGACAAAGGGTTTGTATGGGAATAGAGCCAACACCCTATCACAATCACAAACTGTCTTCCTTGGTGCCCTATAAAGAAACTCCCACAAAGGGCGACATGCACCAGATCCATTTTAATTTATACAGAAAATTTTTTAAACTTCATAATTTGGAGTCCATGGGAATAAGATGATCTCAGTTGAACTGATTAGGAACAATTACGAAATCAGATTAATTAAAAGTTCAACTGATCTGGCACATGTCACCCAAAGACAGGAAAAATAAAACAAGGTTAAACCATACCTGGACCGTACAGGTCCGATGAACATCTTGCAGTCTGAGCAATCATCAACAGTTATTGCTCCGATATGATCATACAAGTATATTGAAGAATTGGAGCAATTTTGAATGATGAACTGTTGCCCTCTAATGGTTCCTGGAGTCCTTCCAGTAAGAACATCTCTCTGGTTCTCGATGGTGTAATCCTTTGGATCAACCTTCTCTCCTGTGTCCCTATTGGGTATGAGAAACAAAATGCGCTGCATTTCCATGAAATTGACTAGTCTACAACCAGCTTAGCTTATTATCCAGTTTCATTAGCCTAGCTCAGGTCTATTGGCAAATCGCAAAAGCTAGAATTTCAACTTCACACCTTATTCAACAAAAAGTCTCAGCATATATATTTTGACAGTTATCAATCCCTTCAAGACACTCTGAACTCAAGAACTGGTCATGTTAGCAATCATGTTAAGGTAGGCATCCCTACTATCAGGACATTGTCCTCACCTCTGCACATTTATTATACTCTAATTGAATCCTACATAATTTTGTAATTGAGGTTTTTGCCCAACGATTAGTCAGAATTCTACTCATTCGAAAATTGGTCTCTGAGTGATCCAGCACAATGTAAATTAAGCTCATGCTATGACCTAGAGACTTGATCATATATATGCCATATAGTTATGTTTATTTTTTATGAGTATAGGGAGATATTGAACATTTAAGCCAATCAATCCAGGTGAATCATTACATACCATGAAAACAACATCTATATAGTAGGTACAAAAGATTATTCTCTAGTAAGAGAATAATCACCAAGCAATACTAGCATCTACTGTATGCTGGAATAAAGCTATCCAACATCTCACCTACTATTCCCAACAGCCTAAATCCAATTAAATCCAATGCATCTCAAGTCCAGACTGCAGTATATCAGTTTAGAATCCATAGTATAGCATCAGTAAGCTGCTTGACCAAATCAAACTTCCCACATAACCTTATCCCAGCTCAAGCTGTAATCAATTGCATGTATTGCAATTGATAACATGAATGATTGAAAGTGAATCCATTTAACTAAGATCACTTCCTCTATTGGCAACCCATGCATTGCCTTCTCTTATTCTCTCCATCTTCCTACGGTTTCACTCAAACGCGTTACTCCATGTGTAAGCAACTCTCATTGCTTTGCCTGATTGATGAATCAATATTGGTTGATTGACAATAGATAAACACGACAAACTGTAATCTCATGACAAGGGCATGCAAAGCTTGAAGCAGACCAGGATGTGGCAGAATGTTCAGGATCCCGCTTGCTGCTCTTCCTTCTCTTCCTGCTTCCTTCGTTCATGAACTTGAGAGATCCTGTGGATGGTTTCCTGTCGGGTTTCGCTTCCTCCTGCGTAGCTACTCCCGAAAAAGTATCCCGACGTCGTCGCCCTCGTAGTCGTAGAAGGCACGAATGGATAATTCCCATTGCCTTGAAAAGTGTGATTATTTCACACTATGAGACAAGAGGAATGAAACGCCGAATGCCAACCTGGCCGGGGCCTGAAACTGCCACTCTGTGTGCAACTGTGAGGTGCCATGCTGGAGTAAACAGGTTGCTGAAAATACTCTTTATCGATCGATATGAGCTTCACCGTCGGAGTTAATCTGTCAAACTCTATTCCTAGGTTGAATGGGATTGTATCACGAAGAGTATCATTTTTGCTTGACTAAAGATTATATGAGAGTTCTCCAAGCAGAAATTGAATGGGCGCCTTCCTGATTGCAAATTGTATTCAATTAGGAATACGAGCAACCATGGACATTAAGGCGGAGCAGTGGAGTGAGTGTGAGAAGGACTGCTGAATTTTTATGAGGCAGAGTAATTGACTGTCTCCTTCGCTTCTATTATACTTGACATCTCAAGCCTCTTCCATTGTGGACCTCATATTGTGTAGTCCACTTCCTCCTCTGGATGCATTCATGATGTGATCAGAACGATACCATGACTTATGAGGAATGACCAGAAGGCATACTTTAGTGTGGAATACATCCGTTTCGCTTTTCACCGGTAATACTGACTAAATGGTGGGTATTGAGGTTTTCCATATTCAAACATGCCCTAGGCCTGTATGCACGCATGTGGTTGTAGACTTAAACAATTACATGTGGAGGATAGGTCTCTAACTTGGATTTAGTTTGCCTTCCAGGATTGGGACGAGTATATTGAATTGAAGACGATGAAAGGTCCATCTGGCCATGACTTCCTCGAGGAAGAGTTGAACATTCCCACATGGTGTGATCAATGTGGAGAAATTGTCTTTCGACCAGAAGCAGATTCAGGCACTTTGAGATGTACATGTGAGTTGACTACCTGTCAGGATTCTTTTGGCTCAGATAAATTTTTAAATCAGACAGTGGTGGACATTTACTAGAGGATAGAGGAGGCTATTGTGCAGAAGGGGCCAAGATGGTTGTTTGGAAGTTTTTGAGGGAAGATGGTTTTCTATATAATGGTTTTGGATTGAATTCATACTCACCCTCGGGCAGTGGTGAAAGGAAAAAGCACCACTTTCATTGGGTAATCCGTGAAACCAACCATCCAGAAGATGTTACTGCTATCAATGGATGAGCTCTTTCAGGAGGGGGGGGGGTGGGGTAGGTTATGAATTCATTCTGAAAACAGTTGGAATTCTGCCTTGGATCCCATATGGCCAAGTCACAGATTGGTATTAAGTGGCTGGGTTTTTAGGCCCATGTATTATGCAACTTTTCCAATTTTATCATTAAAAAAATGACGATTCTGGTGTTCAATGTTATCATGGTCAAGCTTAGATTCTATTAATCAATACTATATGTTGAAAATGAAATTTTTAGAAATAGAGCTAAAACAAATAAGGAGTTGAAAAAATTCATAGTACTCCCCTTTTCCCACATATCTGTTGATTTGAACTTGCATGGACAGCAGAAGTTGCTGGTATGAGTTTGTGGACATATGGGGTGGTACTAGTATTATTGTGTGGTTATGAGTTTATGGAGACAGTATTTCTCACTTCATGACTGCTGCATTATACTTGGGAACACTTGATGTGGCTGTACAAGGCTGTACACATGGGGTGCTGAGTCATTTTCAATCCACCAGCATTTGAGGTATTTGCTGCTAAAGGTAATTTCCCTTTACTTACTCTAATGGAAGGACTGGGGTGATTCTTATATTGGCTCCTAGCATCCTGGACAAATCTCTGGTATTAGTACTGCAAAGTTTGAGAAACTTTTTTATGCTTAAGTTAACTAAAATGTAGTAATTAAAGGTTTAAAAAGCCATTAAATTCTACACTGGAACTTACTTTCTTTATCTTATGTAACTCCATGACCTTGATAGTGAGATCCCATGTGAACAGTTGAGTAGTATGAGTAGGAGAGTGATATTGCTGAACTGTGACTGTAACCAGTAAGTTTCTAACAATGGAGTGTCCTTTTTAAGGTTTTCTCATTTTCTCTCTGTTGAGTAGTTTTCCATTTATGGCAGACTTTAAACACGATATCATTAAAGTAAATGCCGCAAAACAAGTGGCCCATTTTCTAAAAGTGCAATGTTCATGATGAGTTGGAGAAGAAGAGGAATTCACTAGCTCTGCCCTCCTTCTCTTGGCCTTCAAGTGCTGATGTTCAACCTTGTCAATGATTTTCTTCCACCATAGTAGATGTTGGACAAGGACATGGTCAAAGTAGAAACCTTGGAAAAGTTTTCCACACTTCTATGTTACATTTTCTTCCATGAGGTTATAAGTGAAACCCCTATTCTGTGAAAGGGGACCTGCTGCTGGATTGGGCTTGTGTAGCCTGCTTATTTACCTCCTTACATATCTTCCAATTATAGCCAGACAAAGTTATTTCTTTAAATGAGCTACAGTTCACTATTGATTCAACAGTTCCCATTTTAGAAAGCATTGGGCATTGACAAGGATTCCAATACAGTCCTCCCCAGGCCCTCCTGGGACAGCTGAAAGGGAACATTTGGTTAAGTCAAATGTTTGATTTCAGTTAAACATATTTGAGGGCAGTCTGAAGGTCAACTCCAAACTCCATAGAGGATTGAAAGAATGCAATGGGTATGCTGTCCAACTTTCAGATGAAGTGAAAGAACTGAAGTGTACGATCTAGGTCCCAGCTGTCGAAAAGCTGCTCTTGTTATGAGAAACTGATAAAGGGCATCATGAACGGCGCCCCTTTTGCTGGTAATCTGTTCCCCCCCCTGTAGTGAAGGGCATTGTCGTTAACGCTGTTTCATTTATTAGGAAGATAGATACGATAGCCGAGATTACATTGCTACTTAAGTCCGTTCTCGGTTCTGCGGTAGTTGTTTATGTTTGACCACTCACAGGAAGGCCCATCTCGGATATTTACCCCAATGCAATTCCTAGGAAACTGATTCAAGAGTCTACATATTGCACGATTCCCAATCCTTCTACTATAATGAGTACCTCCAAGTAATCGTTGTATGCCAATGTACTGTCCTGACTGAGGACGAAATAAATAGTTCAACATTAATCGTCGTATGGAAAGAGTGAAGTGGTAATGGTGCGTGCACGCGTGCTGAACAAGCGCCAAATTCTCAGAACCCAGTTTGTCGAGTTTAGTTCTTGGATTTTACAAAAGATGGCGAACCTGTCCCGCGAGTAGGAGACAATGGGAATGTGGACGGAATGGTCAAAGTGGCAGAAATTCTAGCGAGCCTCGTTGAGTTGGATGACCTTGTCCACCGTGGGAAGAGACACGTCTCATGTCTCCGGCATTCCTTAGTTGCTACGACTGTCTCATTTGTAGGGGAATGTGGGAAGGCTTCGCTCATGCCTCCATTGGACTTTTTTTTTTCTATCGCTAAAGTAGTGTATACAAATGCATCGTTTCATCAGTTAGCTTATCCGCATCATCCTCCGTTCAGTTCGGTTTTCACGGGCTTAGGGCACAGGAGCACGTAAGAACGTTTCGACTCGTAGAAGCAGTAAAAAGTTTATTTGAACTCATCTTCATGAAATTCATGTTTCACCTACAGATGTTTGCAATGAACAAGATTTTCGAACTCCTCTTCAGTTCTAATAAGATTTAGATGAGAGATGCGATAACTTTTTACTCTCGGCAGTGGCCAGGACGCACCCCATCGGGTCCTTTGTTTTTCCCAGACGCGTTGAGACGATGGATTTTTCTGCTAGACGAGGCGAGACTTCTGTGCACTGGATTTTTCGTCGTCTTATCTCGAACGGATACTGAAGGTCATTCGAAGAACACTGCGTTGCATGCACGGGTAGTTGCCTCGTAGAGAATGAAGCACATAAGTGATTAAGTGCCCTTTTAACCTTTCAGCCCTGGCGGGACTCAGGAGTTGCGCTTTTTTTTTTTCTTTATATTTAGCAGGGCTATAGAGGAATGAACGACCTTGAGGTCTGGCGGGACTCCTGAATCCTGTGACCTCTATGAATTTTTATTTTTGTGATTCATGACGTCTCATTGTGGGCGGTTTAATGAGAAAAATTTGTATTTGCATCATTTATATTTTTAAATTAGGAACTGAAAGGGTTAGGCATATGGATTGCGATATATCGAGGCAGCTACGCCGTTCTTTTTACGTTCTCTCTTCACTCCAGTGAAGGCGTAAATGTCATTGCTATATCGTTTTACTTCTGCCATCTACAGGTTTTTCTTCTTTCCATTCATCGATGCAATTTCGTAAATCTGTCGTCGTTGCGTGACGATCGCAATGCCATAGAACAATGGCCAAACCCCCTGCCAATCTTCTTCGTAACAAAAGGGACGGCGTCTCGGTCGGTCCAGGTGCCGGAATTCTTCACAGGAACCATGGACTAATTGAGGAATTCAAATTTGAGAGTCGCCGGGGGGGTTTCGTTGGGAAATATATTTCGCGACTCGCGGAAGAGTCCTCCGAGGCGGAATCGATCGAACGGACGACCGGTAAATGAAAAGAAACGATAATTAACGACAGTGGAAAAGGAACCGGAACGGATGGACTCGAAACGTCTCGAGAATTCCAGCACGAAATGGACAGAAGAGGCTCGACGACGCATCGACCCCGTCCCCGATTCCCTCCCCTTGAGGGCTCGCTAACGCGGTTATGCATTCCGTTCGTTCGATCTCCGGATCTCGTGGGAGGCGAGGGGGATCTCCGGGTCTGTTAATCACCCTGGAGGACCGAAGGAGGGGGATGTGGCCGTCGGAGTTACCGCGAGAGGAGTATGAGCCCTTCGAAAACTCCGTGGCGTCGTGAAGGGGTTTGTTTGCGAGTGTGGATCGGTTGGCGCGAGGTCGGTTTCGTTTCGACGGGAACTCTGGGAGAATATGGGAAGAGTGAGAAAAATCGGATTCGTGAGACGAAGACACTTAGGTCTCCTAAGTGGGGAGAAAGGAAAGAGGTGAAGAAAGTCGGAGTGGGGCGAAATGCCCGCCCCCTTCACCTTGGAATCGGGTCGCATGAAAAATTGGTTCTTGGCTCTTTCGGCGCGCATTCCAGTCGGAGTGTCTGGTATTATAATTCGTCGCCAGGTCGACGAGGGCTTGGCCCTCTTCGACAAATGCTTTTGGATGGATGGATGGAGGGGAGGGGGGAGATCTTTCTCCGGTTACTCCCACTTTCGCTCCGATGGAATCTCGCCTCCGCCTCTCGATTGTCAGGTATTCCAAAACGTTATTTAACGTCCGATCTCGATATGGTTGGGGCGGGGCAAGTGCACGGGGGCGATTTTCCTCACGTGATGGGTGGCAGACGAGATGAATCGCATCTGTCCGTTCGCTTCTTCCCGTAAAGAGGCTATTAAGGGAATTTTACCGTTGCGGATGAAGGAAAATACTTGACCTTATTAGGGCTGTTGGAAGCTACAGGGTGCTTCCACGGTTGCCATTGGCAGCGCAATGGGGGGGGGGAGTCTCAGGAAGTGCTATGAAGACGCAAAATTCAAGGTCGTGTGACAATGGGTCGATGGGAATCGAGTCTGGAGTGTGCCCTATTGTCCCTTCTCCAAGAACGACGAGAATATCTTTGAACTGGCGGCGCGGATTCGTAAGGATTTGCAGCCGGTCGTGCCGGAGAATCCCAGTATCGCGGCTCCGAATCGTTTGGTGTCGTGAAAAAGCCTTAACAGTCTTCTCCAGTCGACCGAGGTCGAACTCGAAGTTTCGTGGATCTTTTCGCTGCTTAGAGTTTTATTAGAGCAGCTTAGAGGCCGATTCTGATTCCTGCGAACGCGAAAATCCCATCGACGGTTCCAATATCGGTGTCTGGAGACGGCAATTCTGTCTCCAAGGGAAACAAATTCCTTTATCCCCCCCCGTGCTCGTTCATCGTTCGGGTTTGGTAAACGGGCTTTAGCAGCGACCTGTTGGCTCGATCTCGGGACGAAATTCTCGAGGGGCGAGTGGAAAGGCGCTTTCTCCGAGCCCAACCCTTCGCAAACACGAATGCTCTCAGACTACCAGGGTTCACGAGGTCGAGGGGCCGAGAGGCAAGACGGGAGATCTTGTGCACGGTCCGAGCCGTCTGGGTCGATTGCGTCGGTTCTGGCAGGTCCGAGACGAGGATCGGGCTCGGATGATTTTCATCACGAGAACGATGAGTCATCTTTTGGGAGAGTTTTGAGAGAATCGACTCGTGGTATGCGAGTGCGTGAGGCGGACGCATCGGCGGTATCCGTGCCGAAACCACACGGAGAAGTACTTTCCTTTGACTCCCCCGTACTTCGCGCGTCGACGATGCGGTCGGCTGAGATTCGATTGCAGGCCTCGAGTGTACGAGTGGGAACACGGAAAAGCCTCGAGGGGGAAATGCTCTTTGCATTTATGCGGGCGGACGAGATCGGGATGCGGTCGACCTTAAGGACCTTTGAGTTCCAGCGACGGTGTTTGGCATGCTTCCCCCCCCCCTTCGGAGATACGCGATCGTCCGCACGGAAATCGAGGAGAACCCGTAGAACCGTTCCGCGAACCGAGTCCGATCCGAGATCTGGATTTCGGACGACTTCGAGGCGGCCGTGGATGGTTCGCCCGAGTTTTGTGCTTCCTGTTCCGTCGGCCGTCGACGAAACCGGACGAGCGGGAGATGGATCGGATCGGGGAACGGAGAGGAGCACGTGGCCGGAGCCCTCGAGGTGGAGGGGGGGGGGGTCGATTGCGTCATGGCTTTCTCTTCGTTTCTCTTGGCACTGGCAGAGCCAGTTATTTCACCTCGCCTCCGCTCCCTCACGGATGTGTTGTTTAGCCTACCTGTGTTCGTGTGCATGTGCCTGCGTTTAGTTCTTTCCCCTCCCGGTGGAGCGAATCGCGATTCGGTCGGTGGCTGCGTCGTTTCCTGCCAGGTACATCCACACGCACTCGTACGTGCACACGTAACGGAACGACTGCGACTGTGACTGTGAGCGAGGGAGAGGGAGAGGGAGAGCACTGGGACCGAGCGAGCGAACGAGGAAACTCGGACGGAACACGGGCGACCGCGTCTGCTCGATAGTTACACGATCGGCTCTCGCGTCTCGTCGTGTCTGTGTGACGTGTCGGGCCGGTGTTACCCTCGGCATCGATCCGTGTCGGTACTGTCCGCTCTGTCGATGGACGGGGAAACGCGACCGTAAATCGCGAATCGGACGGAAGGGGAGGGAGGTGGGTCGGTGTCGTCGTTCGGGTGGAACACCGTTCCGTCGCGAGTGACTGCGTGTCGGGGGGACGACATTCTCCGGGATCGATTCCCAGGGAAACGAGATTCTGACGTGACGGGGGTGTCTTCTTTTCTTCCCCTCTTTTCCTCATGCATACCTACACATATCGGTTGGGTCGGTGGGGGAGGGGAAGGGGGGGGGGGGGGCTAGGGGCTCGCCTGGCAGTTGATGGATGCCTATGTGATATGGGGATCAGGGCCCCGGCCTGTTTATCTTCGTCCCTGGATGGGCCTGCTGCAGGCACCCGTCTACGGCGTCTCTTCCTGGCAACCGGCTTCGATTCTCGTACCGAGGCCAGAAGGTGCGAGACGGTCACGTGGACGTCGGAAATAGGCCGAGGCCGAGGACGTCTTCTCGGCGTCGCGTTCGGTTCGCGTTCGCCGAATATCGGAAACGATGGAAGGCCGTCCGACGATCCATCGATACGGGGGCGGGCCGATCGGTCTCGGCACGCACGTCGATACGGTCGTCTTCCGCTTCCTTTCCTGCATGCATCACGTAGGCGATACTCGCGAAGCTTTTTCTGCTGCGGCCGTTGAATCTTGCGTTTCCTCTGCGTCCAGGTGCTCGTTCTCGTGATATATGCTCCTCCGATGGGTCTAAGCGAAAGCACGTTGTGGAAGGGGAGACCCGAGGTGCGAGTGGAATTTCAACAGGTCAGACAGGAAAACGGTCCGAGCGACCCGAGCCTCGGTCGCCGTGCATCGCCCAAGCCGAAGAAGAGCCCTCTGGTCAGTGCGAGGATACTTAACCGTTCGAAGCATCAAGCTCATGCGAAGGCGTCCGATCGAGGCGACGGTGTGGCGAAGGAAGCGGTGGAATCCGATCTCCGAGATCGGCTGCAGTCCGGATCGAACCTGAGTGTATGTGTGGATCAGGAAAGAGACAGTGCCTACGGGAGCATGGTGTCCTCGTCGAGCAAAACGCCGCTTTCGAGGAAGAAGCGCAAGGCTCGCCCCGTGGGTCGAACGAGGTCCGACAGCATCATCGGGGACCTCCAGGGTGACAACAGGACGTCGACCTCGTCCAAGAGACTCAGTCTCTACGAGGAGATACAGGTCCTCGGCGCCCACGTGCCGTGGTGCGTCGAGCCGAAGTGGGAGGGGGTGGAGGCAGTCGAAGCCTCGCCGTTTCATGCGTCGTGGGTTCCGTGCGATTTCGAGTATACCATTCCCAACGAGGCCCTGGTGAGAGAACAGCGCTTTCGGGCCATCCGGCAGGTGGTGGAGGAGTTTTCGCGCTGGGATTGGGAAAGCATGTCCAATGTGCCCACCATCTGCCTCATGGGAGACGACGGAGGTCGCGTGTCCGTGGAAGAAGCGTCTCATCATCCAGGTCCTTGTTTGTTTGTTTTTTTAAACGTAATTTTGAAGGCCGGACGGGGAAGGGGAAGGCTCTTTAGACGCGGACCTTGTTGGTCGTGACGGGTCGCGAGAGACACCGTGCGTCTCGGTTGTCTATGAAGGCATGGCATGAAGACACATGATGAGTTCATGTCACATACTTGAATGTGAGCCAAGGTGAAAAGGGAGGAAGCATGTAAGCTGGGAAGATGTCTTGGCTCGGTTGCACCGTGGAGGCTGTCATTCCCTTGTTTCTTTAAAGGCCATGAAAAACACATGACAGTTCGTCACTGTCGTGCTTTATTGGTCGTCATCCGTATCCTTTGTATGGAAAATATGTGCATAAAAAGTTAAATGGACCGTCCATTCTGAATTACAGATTGCCGATACACGTGCCACGAGCGATGCCGAGAGAAGGTGGCTCTGGTCTGTAAGGAGAAGGAGAGCAAGAAGATCTTTGATGAAGATAATGAACAACCCGTGAATCTCCTTGTTAACCTTGAGGTAAGTGGCATCATGGAAGATTAGATTACCTGTTCTTTGCACTGTTCACTGCTCATACAGAATGATGATTTCAGACAAGTAGCCTTATACTTACATAGTGAACATTGAACTTGGTGCAAACAACTAAAATGTATTTTTGTTGTTGAGGAAGCAATGTTTGTAGTTGAATGTGTGTGAAGGTCAACAATTTCTAGGGAATAAAAGTAAGCCATTGACTGATATGTAAAGATGAGACTGCCATAGTCTGATCCATTTATTGGCTATTACTTGACAATTTGATTCTGTTGTGTCTCATCACTTTGTTTGTAAAACAGACAAGACAGTCTGTTTTGAATGTTCTACTTTAATTACATACAAAACATAGCAAAGTATAGTCCATGAATCCCATCAGGGTCTGTAGTTTCACTGTTAATATTCTTCTTGTGTTATTCAAAGGAGCAAGAAAGGTCTATTTCAACTTCATGTTGTCATAGGACTCTTTTGCGGGGAAAACTGAGAATGACAGTATGCTAGTATATCAGTCAGCTTCTAAATTTATCCACAAAATATGTACTTTGCAAGACATTAATATGTCATTGTGATGAGTGCATACATAGACTAAGTGCAATTTTATTATTTCCTATCAGCCTAGATATTTTGACCATTTTCATAGAAGTAAGTGGTAACCAATAACTTCTGTTGATAGAAACAAGCACATGCCATCATGTATGTCACATTGCTGTGATTTCAGTTCATGAGAATCTGAGAAATAGACTTCCATTTACCTAGGAAGTTCCTTCCTTGAATACATTTTCTTTGTTTTAATTTTCAAAAGAAATGGAAGTATAAAGGCAATAAATGATGAAAACGCCTGCAAAAATATGTAGTTAAATTGTGGATAGAAAAAAAAAGCATTGTTATGGAGTATTGTCAATTTATGCAAAAGGATAGAGTGTGACTGTGACTGCCAGGAGAAGTAATAAAGGATTTCCAGAATAAATTCTGGAGGAAGTATGTTTTTTTTGTTGTTTTTTGGTTTGTTTGTTTGTTTTTTTTTTTTTTTAAACCATGAGGCCTGAGGAGATTGGTGAGTGTGATGCATGGTCTACTTTTCCAAACCACAGAATGGTCACGGAGCACTTGAGGATGAGAAGAAGGGAGAAGGAGAAGAGGATGATGGAGAAAAGACTCTAGTCTCTACTGATGATATCTCATCTGTGATAACTATTCATGGCAAAGAGGATGGAGAGGAAGAAGAGCTGGAGAGACAGCCCATATCTCTTTCAGCTCAGACCATGGAAAAAATCACCAAGTACAACTTCCATGCTCCTGCTGGCTTCCACATGGCTGTTGTGAGTGGTCTCATTCCTGAACCTCTGGATAAGTTTTTCTCCTTATGATTCTTCAGAAAAGAAGCCATTCTCTACATTTGAGTTGGCACTTTGCATGGTATGATAGATGGGTCACATTCATATCTGCCAAGGGAGTCCCATAGGAAATGCCTTATCACGACTCATTTCCTTCCTCACTCTGAATGGATCCCCTTCTCTCTGTTCCCGTGGTTCTTAGGCCAAAATATCTTTCTGGTGTAACCCAGGTTCTTTTAGGATTTCCTTGATCCTTGAATGATTGCAGAATGTGGGCTAACATTCATTGTGAGTGTTTTCGTGAATTCATTATATTTTTGTCCAGGAGGAGGATGGGAAGACATATAGAGGATTTGTCCACATCCACTTGAATGTCTGTCGTCCCATCAATGTGGCAGCTGGCACCAGGCCCCCGTCCATTTATGACATCTTGAACCCAGATGCCACGATGGAGAAAGGAACTTTGACATCATTCTATCTTCCAAGAGGCTCCATCAAGGCCATCCACATCAACAGGTGAGAGCAATGAGTTCATGAAATACACAGTGCAGACATGCAAAGGGGATGGCAAATGCTTTCTGTCAGGGACAATGTCAGATGAACGCACCATGTGTTTCTTGTTACAGTGAGATGACAGCTCAGGAAGTCATAACTGCCCTCCTGAAGAAGTTCAAAGTTGTTGATGACCCCCGCAAGTTTGCCCTATATGAGAGACAGGTTCAGCCAGGCCTTGAGTCTAGCAAGGGTAACTCTCTTCACATCTCAAAGCTTTCATTCACTTTAGGAAAATGATGAATCATTCATTTTTTCACATTTTTAATGGGCTCTCCTATTTTCTCATACAGCATATTATTGATGAATTTGGTCAGAGGCCTTGCATAAGGTTTTTCCCTTTTTGGTTTTGCAGTGCGAATGAAAAGATTGAACGATGATGAAAAACCATTGAAATTGGGATTAGATTGGCTTGCAAATGGAGCCACCAACAAGCAGTTCATCCTGCAGGAAAATGACACTGGAGAAATTCTTGTAAGTGCTGACTATTTTGGGTACTCTATTTTGGTTGAATAATTTTCATAAATGTATGTTCTGCCTGATCTAATGGATTTTTCTATCCCTAAAAAATAACTGCTTTGCTTTGTGAGATCAATTCCTCTTTAAAAGTCTGGTTTTTTTTTGTATCTAGTGGGATGCATTCACTTTGCCTGAGTTAAACAATTTCCTCCGCATTCTGGACAAGGAGGAGGAAGAATATCGACAGAAGATCTACATGAAATTTGAGAGCTTTCGTTCTCAGATTCAGAAACACGTAGAGTTCCTCAAATCTACACCATCATCATCCTCTCCTTCCTCTACCATGAAAGTCTCATGATTTTGGTCCTTCGTATTAGCTCGATTGGATCGTTGGGATCCCCTAAGTGTGATCATATCTGATTTCATGTTCCTGGTGTCATAAGGTGAAAAAAAGAAGAGACAGAAGATATCATTTCCATGTGAATGATGTGATATACCTCTGTGGCAGCTGTTTTCAGTAAATGGTTATCATGATGAGGAATGATTCACTCCAGGCAGCACTAGGTATATTACAGCAAATGTCTGTTGATTATTGAATGACAGCTTGCCCTGTGGCATCTCCTAAAGTATGTCTGCCATCATCCTACTTGGAATACTAGTTCATAATAAGAAAGAAAAAGGTGATAACAGGGCAAGATCTCATGTATGTTGTGCCATGGTGCATGCTTGGGAAGCCTGCCTATATCATTAGATTCATATTGACACTGAGAAAGTATTTTATATTGGTCTGTGAAGCAATGTGGAAATGCAATTGCATTGTAAATGCTTTTGGTGCTTCTCCCAGAGTCCATAAGAAGACTGGTCATTCTACCTCTGCCAGGCATCATATCAAAGTTGCAAGGGAACACTGAAGTTTTTCAGATATCTCTGAATATAAAGTGAAGATTAGTTGGATGATCGGTGGTCATCTTGCAAGCTTCACAATTCTCCCACAAGTCAAATTTTTGGGCTTTACAGCATCAGTTGCAAGTCAGAATGGCCTGCATGGACTAGGCATGTTTGAATATTCATCTGGAATAGGTCAAAAGTGTTTCACCCCAGAGTGTAATAGTGACTGTAACTGATTGTGAAGATTTGCACTCATTTACTATCTATTCCTCAGGTGCAATGCCCCATGAATCTAATCATCTGAGAATAACAACCTTGATTTTTCTCCCATGACTTGGAAAACTATTTTTTGATGTTACTGCACATTGAAAAACATGGTGCAAAAAAGAGATGTGGACAAAGGAAAAGAAAGAAGTGAAAATATGAAAAATGCATGCATATGTGGGTCTGGGTATGGCTATGAGCTTGTAGGCATCTTGGGCCTGTGTGTTACTCTTTCTGCCTTTTATATAATCTGAAGGGCTTTCAGCCTCTTTGTACATTCACTCACATGCTATGGTTCAATTTCTTGATGCCAAGCATCAAGATGTTGCGTAGCAGGTGCATCTTGTAACTGAAGGTTTTCAGTATAATCAGATTTGACCATCATCATTGAAGATGGGAATTTGATCAACTTGGATCCATCTCTGCCTCCTGTATGGCAGGTAGAAACCTCTGGCTCCTAATATAAACCTATAGACAGGAACGATTGACTTAGTTTCTGCTCGTCTGGAGAACTAGAAATTTTTGCTTCTAAATCAGTAAAGGAAATAAGAAAAGTTGAGAAGTTTCTACACCAAATGTTGAAACAACTGGAAGGGTCAAGTACTATTGCTTTCTGACTTTATGAAGTCATGCAGTTCCAGATCTGAGCTGATAAACCAGTCTTTCTATGGACCCTATTTGAAACCATCTGCTGCTGGAGGAAGTCCTTTCACCTGCACACTTCAGCAGAAGCAGTGTTCCTGATGATTTCATTACTAGCTGATAGCAGCCATTTCCTGTTTTGTCCTGCAAATTTGAGTCCAATATGCTAGGAACTGTTGAAAAGGTCACCTCTGATCATCTGAACTGATGAATTTAGGATCATACTAAATTTCTTGAATCAGCTTAACTAAAAGTTTTTTTTAAAGGAAAACATCTGGCACATATATATATATATGTAATTCAGGTGGAAAGCTGTTCTGAAATCAGAGTTTCCTGAGTTTTACTGAATGTGGCTTATGCCAATAGACTGCAGATGACTTATGAGTTGATACCACCACACTTCTAAAAAAAAAAAAAAAAAAAAAAAAAATTAGTGTTAAATTAAAAAAAAAAAAAAAAAAAAAAAAAAAAAAAAAAAAAGGGTTGTTTTCTCATTATTGGCAGTTGACCATGTTAGAGATAAATTTTCCAACTGAAAGCAAATTTTTCAATTGCAGGAGCCAAGCCTCCTATGGTTCACCCCTTTTATTATTTTTTTTTATTTAGAATATTGTCATTTGATGCACCAGAAGCTTCTGGCTGAAATTGAAGGAAGTATTGACTAATTTTAAAGCTCAGGCTACCTAACCAGATGATATTGAGAAATGTAAAATACATATTGCAGAGGAAGGAAGATGTAGATTTTTCAACTTTTAATTGGTGGAAAATAACTTTGGTGACTGCATCTTTGCAGAGAAACCCATAATGAGAATGTCAATCATAATGCTCAAAAATAGGCACAGAGGGTAATTGTGAAAACTGAGCTGGGGAAGGTGCTGCTCTATAACTTGTGCTCAGAGTTTTCGTAAACAGGCTTCAATATAATTGTCCCACCCACAACAGATAGAAAAGCTTAAATGTGTTTGAAAGATCGTACATTAGCCACAGATTTCATTGTAGCAGTCCTTATTTCATTGTGCAAGAAAAGATATGTATCTCTTGGTTCCAGTCTAACAGAGCTTTTAAAATGCATGGGGATCCCTGTTTTTTTGTTTTTTTCAATTTTAAACTTTCTCATTGTAAACCCACTTTTGCACTGTGGCTTCAGAATTTATTCTCCTTTCTTAATTTGTCTGTTTTTGATGAAGTACTCCCAGTGCAAAAATATGTCAATACGTAGTCACTCCAATTTTATTGGATGAGAACAGGATCAATATCTCTTGTATTCCTGGAAATTGTATTTTTCATATTTCATGATTTAAAATCAATTCCTGCATGTCAGCCATCCTTACATTGATGCAGGAAAATAATTTTTCCTGCCTTTGCATGCATACTATGAAACACACTATTTGTGAAGCTAATTGCATGGAATTCTGAGTCCAGAACAAAGAGCATCCAGTAAGGTATGGGCTGTATTGTAGTACCATAAGCATATGCCCATAGGTAGAAGTGGTCTGAGGTATCCATGCATCTCAACTTTGAGTTCAATTTGGAGTGAATCATGCCTTTGGTGATGTTGATGCCAGTGATGAGTGATGTGCCAGTCCCTTTCCCACTCAGGGAGAAATCAGTGCAAGAGAGGGAATAAAAAATATATATACTGGTATTTCAAAGAAAAGCAATAAAGCAGAAACTGCGGTTGGAAAATGATGGCATTTTCAATTTATTCATGCAATTCATCATCTCAATATGAGCAACAACTCATCACACCAGGAAGAAACAAGGCAACAGAAGAAACATGAATATTCATACTGTGTCATAATATAAATTTAAATATTGCACGTGAATATTGGAGACCCTCTGCTGCATCGACTGACATTTACGGCTGAAAGAGGATCACAGGAAAATCCACATTGATTCGTGGGATTGGTAGCTTCACTTCACCCTGTCACGAGAACAGAGAAAATAATTTCATTTCTGCTAAAAGAAAGAAATAAAAGGAAATGAAGGAAAACAGACTTGGGGAGTGAGGTTGACAGTGATTCTTTTCATGTGTGCTCTCCTCCGTCCTCGATGCAGTTCTTCAATGTAGAATTCATGAGCCATATCCCCATCCTCATCAAAGAACATTGACCTGGAAGTCATGGGACATGATGAAATAACATGATTTTGCATTATACCATGTTCCTTTTTTTAAACCCACCCTCTTCTTGAGTAGACAAAGGGGGTGGCTTTGGTGGATCTCCATAAATCAATTGTATTGGGTTGAGGCCGACCAACTGCTTTTGAGTGGGAGGAGGATGTAAACTTGGATGACAAAGATCCCATCCTCCTCAATACATCCTTCCTATCTGCTTTCCTTTCCCCCCTTTTCTGTCATGGGCAATGTTGCAAAATCAGTCTGCAAACCAATCAGCAGGGTGCTGTCAGTAATGATATACAATTGGTGGGAGCATACACTGCTAAATTGGTGAAATATGCTTTTCCATACATGGCCTTCCACAACCAGGAGGTAATGCTCCTCCCTAGTCAGAGCTGAGTCAGCTCTACTATGGGAAGAAACCTATGCCTATCTCCTAACTTGTAAAAGCAAATATGCTCTTTTACAATATATGCAACAAAGAGTTAAAGTTCAGTAAATTCATTGTACTTCAATGGGATTTCCAACTGTAAAAATTGATTTTCAGGAAATGTTGACTTCAGAAGTTGGGTGCTATAAATTGAAATTGATGCATGCATTTTTGACAAACTTTCATCAGCGAGAATATTACATCTCCTGTCTTCAAAGGGTGGATTGAATTCAAAATCAATTTTCTTCAGCCTGACATAACTGACTCAAAATCATGAAGGGGCATGATGACTTCCATACCAAGAATAAAAGGAGTGAAAATTCTGTCTCAAGACTAACATTGTTACATGGAGCCCTTTGGATTACAACCCACAAAGATTAAAATGAAATATTGTGCCAATAGTGAGGACATATGAGATAGATCCATGCATTACTACAGCTCAACATCATATTCCTTGATTATTATAATGCGCAGAAAGGAAAGATGCACAAACAAAGAAATGGGATCTGAATTTTAAATGCCATTGGCAAATTTCTAAATGAAGAATCAGAGAGTTATTCATTCCTCAATCCCTAATATCAAATTTAAAAACTTCTCAACTTTCAGAAATTAACTGGCATTGAGTTAATCTAGCAAATGTGAAATTTCAGTTAATGATTGTTCATGAAATTTTCAATACAAATCATTCTTATTTATGGAAAAAACATAAGATGGTAATATCCAGAAGAACTTGAATTTTCCAAGAAGGGTAAGCCCATAAGTGGACAAATATCCTCAAAAGTTATTGAAATTTTTGCAAGGTAAGATGTAAAAAATGTCCAAATTGTTTTAGACTCCTTCCATTTTCTCTCAAAAGAGATACACAGTACATTCTTGTACTAGTATAGAAATAATCAATTACTTAAATTTTGTTGAGAACACAGAGGATAAGATATAAATGAAGCCTTGACATCCTTTATGATAGATACACGAGGACAGAGACACTTGAGGTTGCTCTTTGATGGTTTGAGCCATGCTCCAATTTAGATCTATCCTCATACACAGTGACTTTGATTAGGTGCCCTCCATGTGAACTTATCATCAAAAAGAATTTGCTTTGGCCTTTCATTCAACACCTGCAACTTTCTCAGATCAAATTAAGTTTTGAAAACATCATGTAAACTGACCAGTAAGTAAAGTAAACCAAAGTAAACTAACCTGTAAGAACTTTGAACAATAAAATATGTGCAGTTATTTAGCTTTATTCAATCATTATCACAAACATTTCCCTCTTTTGTTTACAAGAATTCTACCAAAACAAAACAAAAAAAATACTAGTTTTATTTCATGCTCAATAAAATTTAGGCCAAGCATAGACCTAAGAGCTGACTAGGGGAAGTGTTCAGATTAGGATACAGACAAGAAATTTATTATTTGGATCAGGAGTTGAGTTGGGAATTTTTTCTTTGCACTACTTCTCATCAATTCCAATATTGATGAGTATGGGACCCTGCAGCCTTTTCTAAAGTTTCTGTGGCTATTTGCATTTATTGGTAAACCAATAGTTAAGTTAACCAAGGTTAAGTTTTTCTAAAACCTACTGGGAGCATAACTGATATTTCGGTGTGTTGCCAAAACAGGGTTAAAAATTCTTTTACTTACCAGAAAAATGACCAGTTTTAATACTGATACATGAGTTTTTTGCACAAAACTACTTTTCTTCTCATGCAAATGTGCAAGTATGTAGAAAAGATACTAGAATGCTATCACTTTCAAGGAATGAAAAGTATAAACAACATCAGAGTAAGAAAGACTAAGGAAAGAAAGTAAATGGAAAGCAGCTCATATTTCAGGTGCTTGATAGGCAAAGATGGATCTGCAGGTACAAGGCTTAAGGAAAGGATTACGATGAACTAAGAAGAGAGTCCCAATCGAGTTGTTCCTCCACTGTCACCCCTGCTTCCCTCATGCTACTTATTGCCAACTCAACAGGGGAGTTTTGGTGATTTCGGGACACACAGGAGGGAAAGGAGTCAAATGTCTTGCTTTGCAAGTATGCTGCAAAGCAATCATCACACTTGGGTACATAATTGGAAATACGAGCCCCACATAAGCTCAGGTCCACAGTGACCTGAAGCCCCTCCACGGCATACGTCATGCAAACGTTCGACGAAGACACCCGAACACAGCTGGTCGTCGTGCAGCCTCCAATGATGAGGTGAGCCGGACCGTTTTTCATGATGGATTCAATAATGTCTGGGAACCCCACAGCATCCATGATGTTCATGTCAGGCTTCACTACATGATAGAATTCCCTGAGCTTTTTGTTCTTCCACTCCAGAAGAATATCACGCACTGGCCAATAGAATTCCACATCAGATGCTCGTTGGAAAGGACAGCGGCTAAAGATCACTGGGACTTTTGTGTTTTGCAGTTTTTTCATCACCCCCACGCATCTGTCAAAGGCCTCCTTGATACGAACCACCTCCCCGGGGCTCCCAAAAGATTTTTGCCAGCACCCATTTACAAAGGCTTCTTGAAGATCAATCAACAAAACACATAAGTTTGTATGTGACATTTCAGACTGCTCAAGAAGCCTACCTACAGCAGCTCCAAGTGCTCCACCTGGAAAGTGCATTTTGCCATGTTTTTAGGCTATTGTATAATGGTGGCGGATAGAGCTGAGTAGGCGAGGCTGAACCTACGCTAGGACCTCAGTCTAACTTATGGTAGGCATATAGAAATGTATTTGACGTCAATGATTGCACGCCAAAAGCTCAGTAAATGATGGAAATCCCGAGCTGACAACTGCCCAACCACGGTTGTTCTCATGCTGAAATCAAACTGAATCCTTGACCTCTGTGTCGTGGGGATTCGAACTTCACGTGAAGGCACAGTACCTGCCGTGCCTATTGCCAACCCTCACAGATGTCTCCATAGCCCACCACGCGTTTACAGCAGAGCCTCTGCAGCAGCTGAAGGAAAGGCGGATCGGTATTGAAATCTATACGATCTTCTCGTACTAGGCGTTTACCACGCGTTCGCTAGATGTCGCTAGCGTGCAAGACTCACACCGTGACCCGACCCCGATCTCAAGAGTTATCCCCCCCCACAGAAAGGAATTATCTTGAAGCGCGATGGAGCCGGGAAGAAACGTCGATAAGCCGAAAGGGTCGGTGAACCGCGCGAAGGAATAAGAGGGGGAAAAGTATGTCACGCCTAATACGAAGTTTCGAAACGCGTCCCCGGGTTTCATCGCATGGCATGGCAAAGGATTGCGAAACGAAGCCTGGTCTCGAGTAACTAACTTCCTTTGCATGCTCCCTTCTATTCTCTTTCCCGTCCCTGATAACGTTGAGCAATCGTGGAGCTGGGGTCGGTCACCTTCCCCTTTGAATTCGGCCACGTCTTGTTTTGCCATTCAGAGTCTTTCCACGCATGGGTGTCTCCTCCCGAGTCATCGATCGATTCCAAGTATAGATTTCCGTGCATTTTATGTTCGTGATGGCGATCACGTAGGCCTTCGAGAAGCTGGAGACGGCGATTCCTTTGTGCCGAAAGGAGACAGGCAGGTGGATACGAGAGAAGGGAGGGGGGGGGGGGAAATGTTTTTGTATAGGTTCTCGCACACACGTCAGCTGATCCAATGTTTTGGGTGCACCGGTCGGAACGGCCCCGCCTCACCCGCCTCGTTCACGCGCTCCCAGTGTGCGTGTGGCGGACGTGCGTTGGAACGGTCCCTGGGGGGATGGGATTTAAAAACCCCTCCGGGTGGGCCCGGGGACGACAACAAAAAACATTCCAAAACATGCCAGCTGGTCGGATTCGTCGGGTTTCGTCGACTGGGACCAAAATTTTCGAGGAAAATATATCTTTCTCCGGTTTCTCTCTCGGCTGCAGTTGTTTTATTCTCACGAACGAGTCCTGCTGCCATCGGAAAATGTTAAAATTAGAAAGTGCACTGAGCTTTTTCCTCGCGTGCACGTGGTCACGTTCCAGGCTCCTCGAAGATCCATATCGCAGTACCGTCGCGAAGGTACGGGGAACCGTTACGCCGATCGTAAATGTGCAGTTGCGTTTCGCGTATTTTGCAAGAAGGGGTCGAGATGTTGAGAATAGCAGGAAGCGGATCTTCGCTTCGCGACTGTTTTGTAGGCCTGACCGTCTCGTACCTGGCGGAAACGCGAGGAATTTTTAATTGGTTATTCCGTAGATGGAATGCGAGATGGGGGTGACGAATGTCGAAGAAAAGCCAAGCCCCAACTCTTTTGTCTTCTTTTTCCTCTTTCCTCCACCTCGGCTTCTTTCTCATTCCATGTGGAGACCGGCAACGCAGCAGGCGTTGCTACGTTGCCGCGCACGCCCTACTTGCCCTAGAAGGGCTGGTTTCGTGGCGATTCTCGTTCCTGCCATGCCAGTAGAAATCTGTCGATACTTCTCCTTCCTTGCTTGCTACATTCATGATTTGCAAGCTCGAGTTTCCTTGAACGTATCGCGGAAGTTCCATAACGAAATTGCATCGATAATAAAAATTCCGACGGATAGGAAATATTTCCCGAAAGCTCCGCAGTTGCATCGAGTACTAACCTAGAAGAGAGAAAACTTGATGGAATAAATCTTTATTCGCGAGCATAATAAATGCGAAAATATATGAAACGATATTGCGACGTAGAAGCCGACGATGGGAACGAAGTGGGAGTCAGGCATGGGCAGAGGGGAGGGGAGCGCTGTTGCTATGGGCGCAACGGGGACGAAGCCCTGGCTTTGTTTAGCGGGGACCTCGTCTCTCATTGGTCGGCGCTCGGCACAGCTGTGCTGACGTCATCGTTCCACACTCTCCTCCTCCAGTCTGGTATCTGCGTCAGAGGCAGAGGAGCTTCAGTTGGAGAGCAGGCAGCGGTGTGGAAGGATGGTGTGCGTCTCTTGACAATCGCACCCACGACTTTTGTAAGCCAAATTCGCATATTCTCTCCTCCCCCGTCCAAGATATTGATCTGTGACTCTGAAGCTCGTGTGATCGAACCAAAGACATTCGTGGGGTGTGCTACTAGTCCCGTCGCACCGACATTCATTCATTCATTCTCGGCCAGTGGAAAAGATTTAAGGCGCACATACCCTTGATCTCGGTTTCTTTCATATCCCCACCTTGGCTTCGCGAGTCCTTTATCTTCGCTCAGATCCAAGCTGCAGCGTCGTGATAAGGGAAACGGGAAGAAGAGAGCAAAGTAGTGCCAAGCCGTTCATATCCAAATTTCCATGTGTCGGTGGAGAACTTCCTACCCTCACCCAGAAGACAATATGCGGTCCGAAGTCACGTCAGCAGCGGATTTCCTTGTCAATATCCTCAGGCTAAATGCCAATTCGGCAGCTATCACTCCTCATCAGTTAGAGATGTTCCGGGAGAGTCTGATTGAGGTGCTGAGGAGGCACTACAGAGATCATTGGTTCCCCGACAAGCCCGTCAAGGGATCTGGCTACCGGTGCATTAGAATCAACGGGAAGCTGGACCCCATCGTGGCTCATGCGGGGGCTCTGTCGGGTCTCCTCGAGCCATTCCTCTATTCCCTCTTCCCAAGTGAGCTCACCATGTGGGTGGACCCCAAAGAAGTCTCGTATCGCATCGGCGAGAATGGGAGCATCTGTGTGTTGTACGAAGAAGGGAAGAGCCCTTCGCCGGATCATCAGTTCTCTATTCCCAGCCCACCACCGACCCCACCGCACCTTCAGTTCCCCCGCTACGCCCTCGAGCATCAGTCCCGACACAATTCGTGGAATCCCTGCGGGAAGTCGACTCGACGGAACCTGGATTTCGCCGTGGACGTGAAAAACCTCTCCTGGGATCGCATCGCCCCCTACGTGACGAGCTAAGGGAACGGCCACCGCGAGAGAAAAGACAAAAGGGACTCGTGGAGAAAGAGACTGGTCTCTTGGGATCATTCTGGGGCTGTGGACCATCATCCTGCCATATAAATACAAAAAAAAAAAACACTTCCACGCGTCTGTGACTCCTCGACAAAAACTTCCTCCTCTAAGTCTCGAAGAGAAATCCCCCCTCCCCCCTTAGCCTATTGCTTGAGTTGATCTCATGGAAGATTGACAAGTATTACAGTACAATTCTATCTCAGATTTTTGAGCCCGAGGGAACGGTTCTTCGTTTCGATGGTTTCTTTCTTTCTTCACGGACTTTTGCCTTTCTTCTTTCCCCTTCTCTACCTCTGATTGAAAAAGGGTTTTCACGCTTTAGGCCTGTCGGGTGAACGAGATCTCGTTCGTCTCGGATCGCATTTTTTTTTGTTTTTCCTCGTCAAGTTTAGATCTAATCGACTAACGGTTTTTTTAATGCCCGGGCTGTCGATTGAGCTATTGCTTTGAAGATGGGTCGTTCGAACTCAAAATCTCTCTTGGGGCAATGGCGTGGCTGCGTCGTGAAGTTTTCAGATATGACTAAAGAGAAAATTTAGTATCCCTTGCATTTGTCGTGATAATTCAATGTGATACTCGAGGGTTTTGCATTCTTGTTGCTCCTCTCAGCCGCATGAAAGCATCATGACACTTCCCTTCGATATTTTCCTCTGCTTTCGCCCCACCCTTTCCGATTTTTCCTCTCTTTCTGACGGTGATGATGATGATGACGATCTGAACCCTGTCTGTGTGAAGTCATCCCCTCTTGTACTTAAAGTGATGCTTTGAAGGTACAAATTTGTGAATGGACCCATCTGCCAAACACGAATGCATTGCTTGGGCTCCCCAAAGCCTCAGCAGGAAAAAGTCGTGCTGTGATCCTGCCGATCGCTTTTTGCTCGAGAGTTTTTTTTTGTTCCTGATTCTTCAAGACAGCAGCTCATGATGATGGCCCCCGAGGTCCATCCTTTGTCCCCCCCCCATTTCACGTTTTTTCACTCTTAATTTTTCTGCACTCTTTCACCGAGTGTTTTAAGTGATGATGAAATTTTGTCCCGCGAAACCCTTGCTCTGTCTGATTAATTACCGGGTTCATTCTTCCTACAGAACATTTGTCAGGCTAGGCTCACTCTGATTTTTGTCCCATATTTCCATATGTGTTGTGCCGTAGTTGTCTTTCCCGAGTTTCATGTTCATTGGTTTGGTGCATGCTCCCCAGTTTCGTGTCGTAGATGATTATGGACCTAAGATCAGCCCAGAAAGAAATCCTATTTTTTGTCTGAAGAAAGGTTTACTTTTTTCTCCTCTCCTTTCAAAGATTTTTTTTTTTGTATAAGTGAATAAAAAACGTCAGGGCACCACCCCTGCATTTCATTCCCCCTAGAACGAGAAATCGAATGCAAGAGAAAGGAAGATGACGACTCGGCCCTTTCTCCCCTTCGTGAATGAACCGCGTGGATCATGGAGCGCCCTGCATTCGAGATGCCTTTCTCTCCCGTTTTTCCCGCTGGATCCGTTTCACCTTTCCCGACCCGGGGGATTTTCGCACGTGCCTTCTGGCCTCATCAACATTTCACGAGGATTCCACGTCATGGAGCCGGGATCGATAGAACTCTCGTTATCGGAGCCGTGTCGTGCCTCGTATGTTCTTAGACGTCTGAATGCGAGATGACCCTGAACTAGGTATAGGTACACGTGAGTACCAGAAATCAGAACCCACCCCCTCCCCCCCTTTTTCACTTGGCAATTGGCACCGAGCCATGTTGAGGGTCAGTGCCCAGGACTCTAACGCGCACTACGCACTACGACGCAGTTTCTTCCCCGCCTCCCCCCTCCCCGTGAGAGACTCCCCCAGGCCTATCGCACTAGAAACCACGCATCGTCACCGCAGGGAAACTCGGGTACGTGTACGAGTACGTGCCTGGACTCAGGGAACCAACCAAGAAAGATACAGAAAGGAGCATTAATCTCCCGAAGTCTCGATCCTAGCAACCGAAGCACCAATTACGACACACGAAACTCTCGGCGACCTGTTGCCAGGTAGCAACCATGTCTCCGACGAGTCATTTTACTCTATCTTTCGTAATTCCGAATTCAATTATTGCTGATTGCTCTACCGACCGGAAAGGAAGAAAATTACACTCGTTTCTTTCTTTTTTTTTTTTTCCTCGTACAACCTTGACTGAACAATCCCCTTCGGACACGCAATTTCCATGAAATGGACTTAGCAGGAAATCCACGTGGGCCCGATTTCTCGATTACCCTATCTCTCGGCCGAGCCGGACCGACGCGTCCCCTCGAAGAACCTGGCGCCAGAAGGAGAAAGTCCCAACGAGGAAAATCAGCAGGAAACTCGGCAGACCTTTGTCGATCCGATGGGGTCTGGCTATGCAAACATGTTTAAGCATGCATGCAGTTCTCACGTTCAGTCGTCTGACGTCATTCTCCCGGGTATCCCTCGACTCGAGTCGAATGATTTATTTGATGCTCTCTGGCCATCCACTATCTGATGTATTCGTTTAATCATGAAATGCAACGATAACGATATTCCCTTGCGGCTGAAATCACGAAATTTTTATCTGGTCGAACCGAAAAGGGCCGAGAAGCCGAAGGGGCCAGCAAGGGTCCGTTTCGGACCTCGTCAAAATCCCTGCATCGTTTCGATTATTGAAGCAATCTCTGGAATAAGATGAGATATAGGGGCAGAAATCGTCGGAATGACAGAATAAGGGCGGGAAGCTGCGGTGGGACGCGAGATTTGAGAGCAGAGAGAATCCATTCGATTCAGACTGGATGGAGGGACTCGGGGCTGAGCGGCCTGCGTCCTGAGGGTTCCTCCTCTGCCACGCAATATCTCCTGGCGGAACCAGTCGAGCAAGGAGTAGGGGAGAGGGGTATCGGGTGGTTCTGCCAGGGAAGTCGATCCAACGTGGCGGCGCACAGGGAGAAGTGCGCGAGGGGAAATGACCGGCACGTTGGAGTCATGTGCTTCTCGTCCGTTTGTTTCGTGAGGTTTTTACTTTAAAGCATGGATCTGGATCAACCGTCTGAAGTTTCCTGAAGTTCGCCTGACTTTCCCAGGTAGCTCCACCCATTCTATGCGGATTTAAACGTGTTCTTAACGTTTCCTGAGCGTCATGACAGAAAATGATTTATGCTTATGCTTGATAACGTTCCTTTGCCTGGTCGGCACTGGCATTGATAAAACGTAAGACAGTAGCTACCCCCATCATACATCACAGGCCTACTGGAAGGTCCATGCCGTAATTCGTTTAACTTAGACCTTTTACAAGGCCTGTTTTGTTTTCATGTCGTTCGCTTGGTTAGGCTAGACACTACTTCTTGCAATATGTTCATCCTTCATTAATATGCTTGAAGGGTTAGCTTCGACGCCCATTTAAATCTTTCCCTAACGTTCATCAATGTCTGGATGATAAGAGGCTATTGGCTCTACTTTATGTTGAAAAGGTACCTACTGCGGTTAGCACAAGTCATTGTTTTATAACTGTCTTTCTCAGCATCTCAGCAACTGGAGGTGCTTGGGTATGCCTGTTAGTGTGGTTCTCATCTGTCCAATCGAATAAGTTTTATTTTTAGGAATCCGGGTAGGTTGACATAGACCTTGATACAACAAGGGCTTCTATTGCGTTGGTAGCTGATAGTCTGGGTACTCCCCACCTGCCTTCCATTTTATCTCTCCTCTATCTCACTTCTTGCTTTGCATATGGCTTAGTATTGCATCACAGAGAAAGAAGGAACTTTGACTCCAGAGATGATAAAAACCCTGAAGAACATTTTAAACATTTATTTTCCATCAGGATGAGTTATAGTGCATGGAAGATGGAAGATTGGTTTAGGGCTGCATGGGATCCACATTGTTCTATTTTATGCTTAGGGGGCATACTTACTGTCTCAGGCTTTCTCAAACCCCTTCCATGTAAGGTTTCCCTCTTTGTAACAAAATTCATTCATTGCAAGTATTCCTTTGCACAGCCTGAAGTGAATATATGTAGAGCTAATTGGTGTTTAATAACCATCTGATGTTTTTCCTCAAACCCTTAACTCGAAATCTACGAAAAATTATTTCTCTTAGACGCACACTGTGGTTCGTGAGCCCCAGTAGCTTCATGGTATCCTGTGAGGAAGCACGTGAAATGATTCATTTCTCCTCTCTTTGTAGGGGAGAGGTTTGACTCATTCAGGTTCCTGGGAACTTCTTTGTGCCATGCATTAATATATTATTTTTTCCCTCGTACATCAATGTGTAAATGCGTTGGAATTCTGAATGACAGTTTTGAAGGATCTAAGAAGCAGGTTCCAGATCGACATGTTTATGTGTACATATGTTTATTTGCATAGCAGTTAGGATTTAATCAAGAGTCATATCCCAAACCTATGCACTGCCAAGCCCCCATGTGCCTGTGCTGCTCTCGCCTCTTCAAGCTGTTGCAGTGGGAATCCATAAATAGTGGTGAAACCTCTCACCATAAGATCAAAAATTCTATCCCTGTGTGTAGGTGGAGCAAAATAAATTTGGTTTGTAGACTCCAGCATAAGGAAGGATGCCAGGAGTAAATTTACCATTTGAAGTTTAAACTTACTTGTTCAAAAAGTCAGAGGGCAGTGCTAGTAATGATAATGTTGGAAAGTGACTTGAGTCCTTGTAACATTGTGTAATTTTTTAATCAGTTACCATACCCAAAAGGTAAATATATAGGCTATTTCATACCCTACCAGTTGGTTTTCTATTTGATGCTTTATGAAACTGTAAAGTTTAGTTTGGAGCTTTTTTTGTATTGCAGAAAACAGCATGAACACATATTTCCTGGAAGTTCAATATGTATTGAGTCATTTGAAATAAATGCAAATGTAATTCATTGTAAGAACGTAGTAAGAAAATTGACTTATTTGGGGAGATTTCAGCAGTACAAAAAAATCTGATTTGGTACCATAAAACCATTTTATGGCTGCTGTTCTCGTAATGGCATTTTTTTTGTGCTGCCAAATTTATCGGGCATCTGCAAGCCTATTCCCAAGAGAGGAATCCCTTAATTTTATGGAGTTGTAATTCGAGTGACAGGACTGAAGAGGGGAGAGAGTAGTTGGAGTTCCTGATCAAGTCATGAACTACGTTCGTTGCAGTCGCTTTCCTCTCCAGCTGTTCTCTCAGAGGCATGCCTTTGTCATGACGACAGTTTCTTCAGTCAGCTGTGGTATGATGACATGGCACGTTCTAAGAGACTGCAATAAGGATGCAGCCCATTATAAAAGCAATCTTTTGGATGACACGAGACGTGTCTGGGATACACTGCTGGAACTTCTTAAACCCATTAAACGGAAAAGCTGAATTTTCATACTGCCGTTTCGACTTTTGTTGCTCTTCGATCCGAACACTTTGATGACTTTAAAGTTTCAAGAAATAAATTTCGAGCATTTCCCTCGAGATGAACAACTTAATAACAGCATCTCTACAATATGATTCATATGGCCTGTAACAGGACGCTTTCCTTGCGCCGGCATGTTTGTACCACTCCTCGATTTCCTGTAAGTGGCGCAAGCATGACGTTTTGCGTCTTTGATAGGGATGTCGTAGGGGACGGACGGCATCGCATGGATATTTGTTTCGGCTGGATATTTGCAGTTTCGATAAATGTATATAATCCCTATTTGCGCTGTCGACATCCGCGGGGCCGTGACGTGCGACTGTTCCCCGAATACGAATGCAGTGTGCCGGCTCAGATGCCAGCCGTGCAGACGGCCTTTCGTGCGATCGGGTGGGAATCTGTGAATCTGGATGCCAGAAATGAGGCTGTTATGATGGCCTCGACGCGAACCGTCGATGCAACGGCATCGTCTGATGCATGATGATTATATGTTAACTGATGGATAACGGGGAGAGGGAAGAACGGGAATTTTCACGGACGAAAGTTTCGGGCCTTGGGAATCCTGCACGAACCCGAGTCGAACCCGTAGTATGATACAGGGAGGTGCCTCGAGCCAAGAGAGAGAGAGAGAGAGAGAGAGAAAAGCATTTCCGTGCTGCCTCTCGCGTCGTGGCGAAGGGACTTCCGTCATCTCGAGGCGTTTATCCTTTTATCCTTCCTTCTCCCACTCGTTTTCCGGGCTCGGCGTGGCCCGGTCGTCGTGAGCGTGGGTCCGCAGATCGTCGACGCTTGCCTCCTCGGTCCTTGGATGCCTTGCGAAGCCCGACCGTGCACTGCATCGTGGATCCGGTCGTCGACGGGAGTGGATCGGTCGCCGAGCGAAGTCGGCCCCGTGTGTGGAGACCCCGTGGGCCGGTATGGGGTCTTCGCACTCGGGATCCATCGGGAACGTCAGAAAGAAGGGAGAATCGGATGTCGTCGCCTCGCTCTGTCCTCCGGATTCACATGCAATGGGAAAGATATGACCGAGATTCCCTCGCACGGACCAGACCGACTGCGGATCTCGAACGCATTTCGAGAAGGGACCGTGGGAAGTAGTTGGGCCGGGGGGAAACCGGTCCGAAATGATAAAAATCATGCATTTTTAATCGCGTTTTCGGATTTGTTATTTTCGTCCGGGATATGCGCTCGAACGATCGGTTCCCCGTCGCGATCCGTCACTCGGATGAACTCTAATAGAGAGGCAAAAACCAGCCGAAAATTCGATATCGTCCTTGCCGTTCTTTCTGCGGGCGAAGTGGGACCTTGATTTGCATGACTTTAAGAAAGGGCATTCGGCCGAACGCCTTCGAATCCGGTCGGTAAATATCTGTCGGCTTCTTCGGTCGGTCGGATTCGTGTCGCTCTAGTGACTGGTCGATTTGCTGTTTGCCTTTTTTTTTTCCTTGACTTTTATTCAATGGGAAGTTGAAGAGGCTAGATCAGATCTACCTCATCTTGTGCAAAGTGAAAGTGTCATGAAGGGAAAAGGATTCTCCTGCTCCTGAACCTCTCTTCCTTTCTTTTTGACAATTTGAGTTGGACAGACAGTAATACTTTTTTTTTT